AAAAGAATAGATACATTATATCTGTAGCTGAACCACTTTGCTATACACCTGACACTAACATAACACTGTAAATCAACTATATTCCAATATAAAATAAAAATGTCAAAAAATGAACATCTGTATGTCTCACAGGCTGCCTTTTGGAACATGTAAAGCCCTAGGGCTAAATGAAGCCAGGGTCCACACACTGCCCGGCGTCTGCAGTTGAGGCAGCATCACTGTCATCCCTCCTTGGCCTGCCTCTGTATGGGGAGGGAAAGCCAGGAACCATGCAAGCCTTTGAGTCACTGAGTAACTGACTGGTCCAGCTGCCATGGTGACCTAATCTCCGGGTCTCCAGATCTAGCCAGAGGACAAGTTTGTATTTGCTCTCAGTCTATCCTGGGCTGGGGGAAGTAGCTAACGCCTTGGAAGCAAGAAGGCACACAAGACCCAGCGTGAGAGGAAGCTTCTTGGGGAAAGGGAGGGTAAATGCTAGCAGATAATGAGCGGCCCACAGGACATCCACATCGAAGGTCTATGGTATTTCCACCAGTGCATTTCATGGTATTTTGGCCACTCCAACGGCTAAAAGTTGTGTAAGCAACTCATTTGGTTTAGAGCCTCTGTTTTCTCATCTATGAAACAGGGAGTGTTCCACCTTCCCCAGGGAGATGGTGTGATCGAGTAATTAATGAAAAAGGGCCTTCATCAGGCTGTCACATGGTAATATTATTATTAATCTTTGACTAACTGATATCAGTCTAAAACATCATAGCCAACTTCATGTAACAAGAAACTCTTTAAAAAAATATGAAAATAGGGTGCTGTGTGCTCCCAAAAGTTTCCTCTTTCCTTCCCCCTCATTACTGTCATTTATTCTGAACCCAATTTGTTGAATCAATTTCTCAATCTATCAGTTAATGACATCTTATTGTTTCCTTTCAAAAAAAATTATATTGATTCCAGACTCGAGAAAGATGGAGAAGCTCTGGGCAGGAACAGGGAGAAAAGGCAATGCTCTCATCATTTTTACACACACACACACACACACACACACACACACACAATCAGAGCTAAAAATAGTGCAGTAATGATTCAGAAAAAGATCTAGATGTGACAATCTTAGATTGTCCTTTTTATTTCTGCTAGACTGTCATGCCTCCTCCTGTTTTAACCTAGTTTTTCAGATTTGTTTTCTGCACTTCAGCAGCATCCTGCCTGTCACGAGGGGCTTTTATTGCTATGAGATCTCATGCCAAGAGATTTGTTGCCGCTGAGAACATCTTTAGGGGATAACATGATTTAATGATTAAGCCTCTGTAAGTAAATATGTAAGCACAAACATATGCAAGAACATATCATCTGCAGACATGCTCATGTTAACAAAGATTTTTCAACTCCTAAATATTGGCCCAAATCTCAGGACTTTGCTTTACTCTTTTGGTTTGTCGAGTTCCCGCTAATGCCCTGATTATACCCCCGGCAAATGCATCAGGTGGGGTCTGGCTGGCATGCTTGTGACCAGAGTATCCTCCTACTCCATCAGTACCAGCCTGAAAGGGCCTGGGTACCAGCGAGGTGAACAAGGGCACAGCTTGGAGGTGTGGTGGGGAGGGCAAGGGGGAGCTCATTCCTTCCCTGCCCCCTCCGCCCCTCAGGAGAGGCTGTGACCCACTGCGGCAGCCTGAAAGGGCCTGGGTACCAGCGAGGTGAACAAGGGCACAGCTTGGAGGTGTGGTGGGGAGGGCAAGGGGGCGCTCATTCCTTCCCTGCCCCCTCCGCCCCTCAGGAGAGGCTGTGACCCACTGCGGCAGCTTGCCTTGCCGGTCACAAGATCCCCAGAGGCCTGGCTCCGCAGGATGTGCCAGGGCTGTGGTTGCTGCCGCTGCCGCCTGGCTTCTGCTGCTCCCACGGGATCACGTCCAGGGCAAGAAAACAGTTGATTCAATAAAGAATCCTGTAATGTGGGAGACCCAGTTTCCATCCCTGGCTCGGGAAGATCCCCTGGAGAAAGGAATGGCAACCCACTTCAGTATTCTTGCCTGGAGAATTCCATGGACAGAGGAACCTGGTGGGCTACAGTCCATGTGATCACAGAGAGTCAGACACGACTGAGCGACTAACACTTTCACTTCACTTTTTCAGAGCTGCTACAACCAGAGGGCGTTCGCGACACCTGGAAACGTCTGGTCATCTCCACCCTCTGCCGATCAGTGGGACAGGGAAGCCAGAGGGAACTGGGTTGGAAGGGGGGTGCTTCACATTTTCTAGAAATTGATCTCTCCAACTAAAGCTCCAAGGGGCTTGTCGACCCCCTCCACTGCCTGGGTGGCGCAGGTCAGAGGATGTTCCAGATCTGGAGAGGAGCAGGGGCCACAGCCCTGGGCAATGAGATGGGCTTTCAGGCGCAAGCAGAGATCGTTCATTTGTCAAGGCAAAGGCATGTTCCTTGAAAGCCACACAATGGAAACAGAGCCAGAAGAGCTCTAATGATACAGATGACACTCTCTACAAGAGAAAATCGTTTCTGTTTTCCCTCTGAACAAAATGGCTTGATAGGGTCTCGGAATAGGAAGAAAGGGCAGAAGTGAAGACCAGACAGCCTGAGACTAAGGGAGCTGGAGAGAAAAGATCGCCCATAGAGGAAGTGTGGCGGTGGGAGGGGAGCTGAGATGCAGGCGGGAAAGGAAGGAAGAGCGGTGCCCGTAGTCTCTGGTGAGGTCTGACTCCTTCCAATACGTGCTTAGACACACGTATTGGTCTCTTGGCCTCCTCTGAAACCTCTGCTCCTATGCTTTTCTGCTCCTGTTGTAGGCAGGGTTGCCTCTGCTCAGACCCGGATGCTCATTCAGCTTCCACCAGGTTCCAGATGAGGGGAGATGTCCGTAACCTCACCAGTGTGCCCATTCTAGTGTCCAAAGGGATCAGTTCCAGGAACCCTGAGGCCTCCATACCCACAGCTGTTCAAGCTCCTTACGTGAAATGCTATAGTATTTGCACATAACCTACGTACATCCTCCTGTCTACTTTAAATCATCTCTAGATTACTTAATAAGACTTCGTAAAATGTAACTGCTATGTAAATAGTTGCTGGCATGTGGCAACTTCAAGTTTTGCTTTATGGACCTTTCTGGAAATTTTTAATTTTTTTGGCTGTGCCATGTGCCTTTTGGGATGTTAGTTCCCTGACCAAAGATTGAACATGGATCCCTTGAAGTGGAAGTGCAGAGTCCTGATCACTGGGCCACCAGGGAATTTCTGGCTTCTGGAATATTTCTAAACAAATATTTTTGATCTATGCTGGCTGAAGCTGCAGATGTGGAACCCAGAGACACAGAAGGCTGACTGTATACAACAAAAGCATATAAACTTGATGTTTTATAAAGATTTACTTTTACTGACTTATTTCCTCCCAGGCTTTAAGGAAAGGAAAGATATTAAAGAGTAACAGATAACTCTATTAAAGATGTCCCTTATTATAAGCTGAATTATGCCCCCCAGAATGATGTGAAGTCCTAGCCCCCCGTACCTGTGGAGGTGGATTCATTTGGAAATAGGGTCTTTGCAGATGCAATCAAGTTAAGATGAGGTCATTGGGGGGGGGGTTCATCTGTGTGTCTGGTATCCTTGTAAGAGAGAGGACCCCACGTGAAGACAGACACACAGAGGAAGATGACCACATGAAGCCAGGCAGAAACTGGAGTGATGTGGCCACAGGCCAAGGAATGCTTGGGCCACCAGAAGCTGTAAGCAACAAGGAAGGTCCAAATCCTCTCTGCCAACATCGTGATCTTGGACGTCTAGCCTTCAGAATGGTGAGATAATACATTTCTGTGTCTTACATCACTCAGTTTGTGGTACTTTGTTATGGCACTGCCAGGAAACTGATAAATCCCTTCTGTCCCTCATTAGCTTAAGGCCTTGTCCAAATATCACAGACCTTAACTTCCTTGAGGTGAGTCCCTTCCTAGGAAACTCCTTGGATCAAATGCAAATAGGTCTCAGTGGCCTACCCCTGGCCTGCCAGATATATCCACGTCCTAGAATGAACACAGCTCACACTGAAGCCGCCACTGCAGCTCTCTGAAACCTGTCTTTTTTTTTTCTAAATGTAGTCATCAGAGACACCCCGAAACCTCTCTTCAAAATTCTCCTTTAGCAACAGCATTTACTGACAAACTATTATATGGTAACCACCTTTTTAGACTGATGGGGAGGCCCAGATGAAGTAGATGGTTTTTTGCTTTTAAGAAGCAGATGTTTCTTGCTGGAAAGAAGAGAGTAAAAATACAAATGTATTTCAAGTGGACTCTAAGTCACAGGATCTATTTACATGTTAAACTGCAATCTAGAGCTTAGGTTCTGAAGGAGTTCAGATAAAAGGGCTGAGAGATGTCAGGAAAGATGGGGCTTGAGAGGTAAAGAGAAGAGCCTTAGTGAGGCAAGGAGAAGGGAGAGGGATGCTCCCACCTGTCCACCGCGGGAGACCAGAGAGTCATGGGGAACAAACCGACCCCAGACTGTAGAGGGCGGTGAACCCCAAGCAGAAGGAAAGTCCGTTTGCCTCTAAACTGCTCAGGGCGGTTGGCGAGTCTGCAGGGGAGCGGGCAGGATGATAATCAGCTCTCAAGTTGTGATTTTCACCCTGTTTCTTTGAGTTTTTTAAGATCCCCAGGGACTAGGAGTAAGTACACACTCTCAAGAGCAATTCTCAGAAGACAAACGGAGCCCTGAAAGGTCACGGTGACTCTTCGGCGCATGTCATCCCTCCCTGTCACGAACGCAATCACTGCTGGCGCACCCACACGAGCAGGGGAGGAAGGCTGGAGATGTATGAGGTGTCTTAAGTGTGCTCTCAGAGATAGGTGCCACAAATAGCCCAGCTAGCATTCCTCCACCAAGGGTTACGGACGCCAGATGCTGTTAGCAGCTCCTGACTGCGGAGACCAGGAACAGGGGTCTGAGTGATACGACCAGCATCCAGTTCCCGGCCGTAAGGCTCTTATCGTGTTACTCACCCGCCAACTAAGTAGAGAGCATTCTTCTTTTCAGGAATGTTTTGTGAACATCAAGCAGCTGAGTGCAGGGTGCCAAGTTCCAGAAAAATCCTTGAGATGGATTTTCACAATGCTGATCTGAGTGTTTCCAGCAGTTTGAGAGGTGGGTACCGGGGGTTCCTGAACACCAGCTCCCACGCCAGGGGGAACCTGAAGATGAAATGTTAAGAAGGGTCACCACGATACTCCAATGCTCTGCTAATCCTTTGAGAAGGGTGCTTGCAAGTGGATACCTGTCTCTGGTTCCTAAGGATTTCAGAAACTCATAGAGATATCATGTCCTTGGCTGCAATTGACAATAATGTATTTGTGACACATGTCCCTCTGCCCCTTCCATAGGCCTAGAGTAGCAGCTCTTTGGCTCCTCCTACTTGGGGTGGACTGGGCAACCTTCTAGAATCTACTGTAAGTGTGCAGGCATGTTCATCACCCAAGTTATTATCTAGAGAAAGTCTGTGTGCATTTATTTCACCATCTTCCTTTTAGTCCTGGAGACCGTAGCATCTGAACTACCTGGTGAGGGGGTCAGAGCCGCCTGGGCACTCTGAGACAAGACTCCAGGCTGGGGCTTTGTAAGCCATATGGTCTCTGTCTCAGGAACTCAGTTCAGCCACTGTTGGTGCAGTAGCCATAGACACAGCAAAGGAACATGGCTGTGTGCCAATAGAGCTTTATTTACAAAATCAGGAATGAGGGCAGATTCAGTGTGCTGTTCGAGACCTACATACACAGAACTATTTTTGAACGGTCATTATCATTTTAAAGGTGCTTTCGCAGACACATTGGTTTCTTACCCCCCAGGTAGGCAGGTAAGCCAGTGTTGTATACTCTCATTTTATATACAAGGCAAATTGAGGTCATTAGTAACTTATCTGATGCCAACAGAAAATCACAGAGGAGACTCGGACAAAGGTCTTTTGTTTCAAAATCCAATATATCTCCTACCAGGCCAGTGTTTTCCAGAATGTGCCTCTCTCTATTAATAGGTGTCACCTGAAAGTGGAGTTCTGGAGTCAAATAAGTTTGGGAAACTCCACATTAACCAAGGTCAAGGAGACTTTTAATGCTTGTTATGAATCTCCAAGTGGGGAATTACAGCATGCTGAGTTTTCCGAACATATTAGACGCCAGACCACCTTTTATTCTTCTTGTCAAAACAGCTCTCAGGACTCATGCTTCTTGGATCAGAGTCTAGGAAATCCTTCACTAAGTATAAATACAAGCTATAGGAAGAAGACATTTTAGAGAAGAAATGTCAGATTGGGGTATCAAACAGGCTAAGGCCCCATGGCAGCTCACCTCAGAGGGACTACGGATTTGATCCAACCTTGATCTAGCAGAGTGATAACAATGAAATAGGGCTCATCATACGGTCAAGTTCAACACAAACAAGGTGACTAAAAGAAGTGGGGAGGGAAATGAATTGCTCTGCTCATATCGTATCTGCTTCTGCTTTTTCTCCTGCTCAGGAGGAACTGCTGATCTGATTAGTCATGATTCAGGTTGGTTGTTGGGCTTCTTTCCCTCACAATCTCTCAGGTAGAGGGCAGAGGCCCTCGCTAAGATGCTGTATGGGGTTTCGTTGTAGTCTGTAGATTCTGAAGAAATATTCCTTTTTTATGATGCCAGATGTTAATTATAATCAGTATAATATGTCATTGATCCAGTCAAAGAAGTGAGTGTCCCCTACGAGACGGCTTGATGATGCTTTGAAGGCACTGTGAGTGGAAACCCAAGAATGTCTGCATCCTGACTGCAAATACCCCACCTCCCTCCAGGATTCTGAATGGGCAATACTCAAGGAACAGTCAGGGGGGAAGAATCAAAATGCAGAGTCTTAAATGGCACAAATGCTCCTCAATCCCCAGTGCTGGCTCCTCTGATAAAACCAGGACTCAAGTCCACAGCTGAAGTGCCAGTCTAAGCAAGAGCTTCATGCCCAACTTATCAGAAAATCCAAGACTAGGGAACAGCCCACTGGGGCACATCTGTGGGGCTCTAGAGTTTAAAATATGGTCCCTAGGAGGGACTGTGAGTCAGGTTTCTAAGAGGGCTACACTTTTTGGGAGAAGATGGGCAGTAATGGCTTCAGGGAACAGGGGCAAGATGCACACGGAACAAGGGAGAATGGGTATCATTTTATAGCCTGGTCACCACGCCTCCCTTGAGCCGGTGTCTGCATGGCATGGTGCAAACCAAAGAAATGTATGCTGGTCAGTTGAGGTCCTCTGTCTCTTCATCTTTGGCCAACTGGCCAGGCAATATTCTGGGATGCTGAGGACATTTCTCTCCTTAACCTCCTTTAAGGAGTGAGAGTCAACAAATGTGACTGCATGAGGGTCTACAGTTGCATGAAAGTAGAGAATCACTGCCTTTGAAACAGCCTGTGGGAGAAGCTTACCAGGAGACTTGGCAAACTGGGGATGACAAGGTCCTTGGTAGAATGTGGGCAAGACGGTAGCAGAAATATCCTTTCCCTCCTTTTGTGAAATGAGTGCTCCTTGGGCTTGGAGGTGCCTGAGAAAGGCTTGCCGTTGCCACTGACCATCGTGTGTACCTGCAAGAACAATACAAGTCTGGAATAAAAACCATTTCTCTTCATAAACAATGCATGATCTTATGCTTCTACCTTAAAGCCTTTGGGGAATAAATTAAGGCATATAAAAGAAAAAGAACTATATTTATGCAAATTAATCAACCAGTTTATAATATCACACCTATTTCCAAACATTTTCTTCTGAGCAAACGGTCAAGTTTGAGGGACTATAGTGGGTAAGATGGTGACCCCCCCAAAAGTTATGCCCACATGCCTCAGAATCTGTGAATATGACCTTATTTGGGGGAAAAAAGCCTTTGCAGATGTAATTAAGAATATTGAGAAGAGGATATCATTATGGCCCTAAATCCATGACAAGTATCCTTCACAGAGACACACAGGGGGAAAGGTGATGAGAAGATGAAGGCGGAGATAAGAGTGATGCAGTTACCAGCCAAGGAATGCCGACAGTCACAAGAAGCTGGAAGAGGTGAGGAACAAGTTCTCCCCTTGAGCTTTCAGAGAGAGGACAGCCCTGCTGACACCTTGTTTTTGGACTTCAAGCCTCAGAAGGGTGAGAATATACTTCTGTTGTTTTAAGTCACCAGTGTATGATCATTTGTTACAGCAGACAAAGGAACACAGGTATTTATTTCTTACTGTACTTTTTGTTAAATTTCAAATGTACACCCACAGAGAGATACATATATTCAGGTTGAGCTTCTGCAATTCTCCAAATACTCAGACCTTATATAAATCCTGCCAGGTGCATCTAATTTCAGCTCTTCCCTCCAACATGGAAGAGGCAAGAAGCATCTCCCTCGGTCTCATTGTCTGGGGAGGAGAGGAAGAGGAAGGGCATCCTCTCAAAGGACCAACTGACCTGCCAAATCAAATGGAACTGGAGGTGGTCACCACCTTCCACCAGGGACTCCACTTGTGTTTCACAGAGAAAGAATTGATGCGATGCTATCAAACTNAAAAAAAAAAAAAAGGAAGCTGAAGGTTACTGCCAAAACAGATCAGTTCCACCAAAAATGCTCCAGAGAACTCTTTTCCCAGCCCTGGAAATTATGCGGCTCTCTCCACCCTTCTAAATTACACTGTCCTGATAGATTTTATTTGCCCACTAAAAATACAGAATGGAGATATCAGCTGATAACACGGCTCGTGCTACTTTTGGCTGAGTCTGTATTTGTTTTCCAAGAACAGAACCAAGTTCTGGATCACAAGATCTTTAGAAATAAAGCCAGAGTGTCTTTGTCCTTTGCAAAAATGTAGTGACTGTCTTTTATCTCATGTCACAGAGGGGACCCAGAGGCTGCAGCTATAATATATCATAATTTTGTAGAAATCACAACAGAAATAGGAGTACATGGATATTGCATTTGGATTCTGCTCAATATGTGTATCTCCCTTCCTCTAAACCTTCTTAAATATTCCAGAGCCAGAGACAGAGAAAAGAGTGACAGTGAAATCAGTTTGCAAGTTAAAAGCAATCACAGCTACAGCCTTGATGTAAAAACAGCAGCCAATAGCCTCAATGTTGCTCCTAATTTGGGTCTAGATTGACCTGCTGAGGAACCTGCCAACACAAGAACACTAGTTGGTCCTGTCACTTATGTCCCACTGAAATGAACGCATTCAACTTCAAACTGGTAGCTTCAAATAAAGGCAATGATTTTTTCCAGCTGGTACAATTATTTAATACAATACCTGCTGGCTCTCCAGAAGTAATATTTTCCTCTCCTCGGCAACAATGAAAATTACCCTGTCTTGGGGACCACCAATTCAAACCATACAAAATGTTCTCAACTTGAAGTATAAGATTTTTCAATGACAGTGATTTGCCATATGGAGGAATGGGGGGTAGGGGGGAAAGTTCCAGAGATACAGAATAAACTAGAGGAGAGAGGGGAAAAAAAAAGTTAACAGAAGGCCAAAGCCATTTCATTATTGTAATAATTATTCTTGTAATGTTTTAATCAAAGGAAGCAGCCGGTCTCTCTCCCCTCATCTATATTCAAGCTCCCACACTTCGTAGGTGTTAATCTCCACGCCTTCAGGCTGTTAGGAGGGAGCGGAAACTGGCAGCCCCTGCGCCGCAGAAGCCTGTAGCATAACAGTACCTGGCACTGCCCTTAATTATCTCAATTATGTTAATATGTGTTGTTTGTCAACAGCTAGAAAGAACTGCGACTGTTAGGCAATTGGGGAGATCGGTTTTTAGATGTAAGCTTGGGCAACTTGGAGGTTTCCCTTTGGTTATAATTTTTAAAAGATTGTTTAAGGGATTTTATATTTACAAGAGTGAAAGAAGAATCTAAAAACTCATTCCACAATCTCATCTGGTGTCTGTTTTCCGAAAGTCATTTGTCCTATGTTGTTACAGTAAGTTTTTATTCTTCTTCACTGGTGATCAAAAAATATGTAAATGTGTAAAGCATATAAATGAGTAAAGACAAACGGGATACCCACAGATTGTAAGGGGATGTGAGAGATTTATTTCTCAAGAGCTAAATTAACTAATTAATATATAAAATCAGTAGCACGTGCTTTTCAAATACAACAGAAAAACATTTAAGACTA